GAGGAGGGGCTGAGGTAGAGGGAGAGGGTGAGTAGAGGGAGAGGGTGAGTCAGACGGAGGAGAGGGTGAGGTAGAGGGAGAGGGTGAGTCAGACGGAGGAGAGGGTGAGGTAGAGGGAGAGGGTGAGTCAGACGGAGGAGGGGCTGAGGTAGAGGGAGAGGGTGAGTCAGACGGAGGAGAGGGTGAGTCAGACGGAGGAGAGGGTGAGTCAGACGGAGGAGGGGCTGAGGTAGAGGGAGAGGGTGAGTCAGACGGAGGAGGGGCTGAGGTAGAGGGANTCTCTCTCTCCCTCTCTCTCTCCGCCTCTCGGTACTCTCTCTCAGTCTCTCTCCTCCTGCTCTCTCTCTCTCCTCTCTCGTCTCTCTCTCTCTCTCCTCTCTATCTCTCTTCTCTTCTCGTCTCTCTCTCTCTCTCCTCTGCTCTCTCTCTCTCTCTCCTTCTCTCACTCTCCTCTCTCCTCTCCTCCTCTCTCCGTCCTCTCTCTCATCCTCTCTCTCTCTCCTCTCTCCTTCTCTTTCTCTCTCTCTCTCTCGTCTCTCTCTCATCCTCTCTCTCTCCTCTCTCTCTCTCCTCCTCTCCCTCTCTCGTTCTCTCTTTCTCCTCTCTCCTCTCCGTCGGTCCCTCCTCATCCTCCTCTCTCTCCTCTCTCTCTCTTCCTTCTCTCCCTCTCTCTCTCTCTCTCGCTCTCTCTCTCTCTCCTTCTCCCTCGCTCTCTCATCTCTCTCTCTCTCTCTCTCTCTCTCTCTCTCTCTCTCTCTCTCAATCTCTCGTCTCCTCTCTCTCTCTCTCTCTCATCTCTCTCTCTCCTCTCTCTCTCTCTCTCCATCTCTCTCTCTCGAGAGAGAGAGAGACAGATGCTGTATAAAGCCTTTCATTTGGGGATATAAAGCTATAAAGCTGAGGTTCGCAGTAAGAAGTGTAATTTACGCGTTATTCCGAGAAATGAAATAGAGAGTGGAGGCACGGAGGCACATGGAGGCACATGGAGGCGCGGGGGCACATGGAGGCGCGGGGGCGGGGGCACATGGAGGCGCGGGGGCGGGGGAATGGTTTCAGGGGAAATGTATTCGTTCGCAGGGTTAGAAATTAAATTGACCACGTCACGAATTTTCTATGGTGTATATTTGTAAAATGTTTGTTGTTTGCTTGTGTTTGGCCGAGTAAGACGCTATACAAAGGGCGATGGCTGAACTACCAGGCTAGCTGCGACACATGTGAACCCTTTGCTTCCTCTCTCTCTCTCCCACATCCCCCTTTACTCACTCTCTTCACCCTTTGCTTCCCCCTTCTCTCTCTTCCACGTCCCCCTTTACTCCCTCTCTTCACCCTTTGCTTCCTCTCTCACTAGTTTGATTGTACTTGGCAGACTAAGACGTTGTACAAGGTGCGCTGGCTGAACTACCAGGCTAACTGCGACACATGGGAGCCATACGACAACCTGCTCTCCTGCAAGGACCTCGTGCACGACTACCTCACAGAGAGGAAGCGCCTGAAGGAGGAGAAGATGAAGAGGGAGAGGGTGAGTCAGACGGAGGAGAGGGTGAGGTAGAGGGAGAGGGTGAGGCAGACGGAGGAGGGGCTGAGGTAGAGGGAGAGG